GGATAATGCCGGGGTTTCGACGCCGGGGATTCATCCGTCGTAGCGCGTCGTTAATAAAGCGGGCGGTTTATAGTTTCTGAAGATCAAAACACGTACAAGTAGCCGAGAAATGAGTCGAAACACAAAAGTGAGGCGGGGGATGCGAGACAAGGCGGGATACGTTAATAGTTTCCGAAGAGCCTCCGTCGGAATGGCGTAAGTGTTGTATATTTACATTGGCGTTACAAGCTCACACCTGGTCGCAAGAATAGCGCCGGTTCTTCTTCTTCTTCTTTCCCCGAAGTATTTTCTTGGGCCATACGTCAGACGTGTTTGACAAAAGCGATCGGCCCACATTTTTGTCCTGCCTGCATTAATGCAGTTATTTCGGTGCAGTTGTGTGACTTTAATAGACAGATTTCAAGCAGCGGGAGAACAGCGATATCACATTTTCATCAATGATCTTGCAATGATTAGAAATTATTCGTAGGATAATAAGTTTGTCTCCGTCAGTGATTCTTTTTCCAATTTTCTAAAAGATAACGAACATAATTTGTATCGTTCTTTTCCCATAATTTATTCAATTATATCCAATTGTGTCCACTTTATTCCTTTTATCATTTTCATCTGTTGCAATTAATCTTTTTCATTCACGTACAATTTGTATTTTTTATAATTTTGCGAGACAAGCCTGAAATTAAATAATAAATGTCTATTGCCGTATTGCGAGGGGGACGTCGCCTGAAACCTTATCGGGCAGAGGGAAGGATGCGCGCAGGGTGATTTACACCCGTCGAACGTCATTTGCGAACTGTCATTTGCGTTCGGCAGCTAAGAAGCAACATAAAGTCGGCATGCATGCATATGTCGGCTGTAAGAGGGTGGTCTAAAAAAATAAAGCGGCGGGCATGAAGAACCAGAGATGTTTGTGTTTCTACGCGAGATGGGTGATTCGTAAATGACAAGAAACAACTGGGATAACTTATATCTCGAAACAATATTCCGTGAAATCGGAAACGACGGGAAGTGTTTTTTTTATCAACGATTATCTGCGAAAGATAAGGATAAAAAAGGGATCCCAATGGGTGAGAATATTCGATACGCCGACATCGGGAATTGGTTTTACATTGATAAGCGTAGAAACACATTTGGAAGATAAAAGGTTCTTCATAATTACAAATTTTCATACGGATTAGTTTTTATTAGAAGTATTATATGAAATAAAATAATTATTAATATTTTTCGTTACGCGTGAAGCGTTTTAAATTATAATCAATATGTTAATTAATATTAATTAAAAAAATATATTATATCGATTTGATCTGATTTTTTTTTTTTATTTGTTTATCATATATTATGTGATTTTTGTTCAACCTGTTTATCAAGTTTATAATTTTTTTCTCGGCATAATGTCGGTATAATTTCATATTGCATGATCGTTTGTTCGAATCTGTTCATTGAATAATTAATAAATCACACACACACACACTGTTTCTCTCCATATTAATTAATCAAAACAATATATAATTCCGATGGCCATAACGATAAAAATCGTGTGTCCACGAATACACGCGATGCAGTATATGTCGTACATACATTTGTCATTTATATATAATCTAACAAGTTAAATACAAATGCAGTAAACGTATTTTAACGTTAGGCATTAGCCGTTAGAGTCTGCTTTTGCATTTGCTAATTTTGAAAATTATAATGAAGTACGTATATAAACTGTGAATATCATAACTGTGTACAAGCCTGAAATATAGAAGCAAGGAATATTTGCGAGAAAACAATTTGCATGGCATATTCTACGTTGTGGATTCAACGCGACCAAAATGGGAAAGGTATTTATGTGTAAATAAATCGTTTTATATACTCTGTATTTTAATTTTGATCAAAATGACAGTTTAATAATTAAGAACTAATAATTAATGTAGGATAATGTGGTTCGTTTTGACAATGGCTTCAATAAGCGTAACATTATGGATTATAATAACAATGAGAAATAAATTTTAAAAGGAGCCACTGTAAATGAATTGGACACGTTTATCGAGAATATTGAAATTCACTTTCCACAAATATTCCTTTGTCGTGATTGGTCGCAAATGAATTATTCCCACTTGGATGAGGTGTGTATTTTTACTTGTTAATTATTGATTGCTCATAGGAATATTTAGCACGGACACCTGTTCGATGAATATATTTAATAGAAATTTGGCCAAATAAATGAATATTTGAAATAATTTTATTATTAGCACCCGAAAATTTTCCTTTGCAATTTATATGTACTCATTTTTTTGCATAAAATGTAGATCGAAAGCAAATTGTTCAAAAAAACTATATAATTGGCAATGGGGTGAGATTTTTGAACCCGTCGAAAGGACATACAAAGACAAATTCTATTTTTTCAATCATTTACAAGTCGTGCTATCTAATTGCGACATACACGTGCAGATCACCTACAGCACGCCGCGAGTCGTTACTTAACGAGACAGCAGCGGCGATGTCATTACGAGTTGGTGTATTATTTTATTTTGAAAGTACACACTGCGGCGCGGTAATGGAAGCGTCTCGCAAGAAATGCAACATTGTCAAGATGCGTAGAGCATAAAACCGATGTTATGTATTGCAACTATTTTGACTGAAATTGAATACGCCAGATTTCTTTAGCGAAGTTTTAAAATGAAATCGACATAGTGCTTTACGACAATCTTATACATAATTTTCTAAATAATTGAAACAATGCACGATTAACAAACTACTCAGTAAGCAAAATGTTAGCAAATGCTGTCAACTTACTAACACTACTAACATTACATTTAATTCTTTAATAACAATAATTGATTGTTACATTTATCTTAACCCCTGATAGCAATATAAGAACGAAATATTTATTCGTAAATATTCGTTTACTCGCACACGCACGGAATTAATTCCGGATGCAAATTAAATCGCAAATGGTTAAATTTAATAAATTTGTGAAACAATAAAATCTTAATTTAAATCTTGTATTAAAATGTTGTGCAACTACTTACAATCGAATTTCTCTGGCCTTCATCCTTCTCACGATTGTCCTTTGTTTCCAATCAGCTGATACGGTGTGATCTTTACTTTTTTCGTCTCAGCTTCTCTCTTTGCGTCGATCTCCCACTATTTCACACTCTTCTCTTTCTTCTTCACTTCTGTCACCGGATGAGCAAACCGCCTTATCTATACGGCCATATTTAATTATATACGACTGGTTGTATCGTAATTATATCGCATACACAGTGTAGCAACTTTAGAGTTTGATCGGACAAACTTCATGTACAATCGACCAATCATTTGCTGCAATTACACTACACAGACTGCCACACGATTGGTCGATACAGCGACCATGCGGACATAGGGCGTTGGAAATGAACAAAACAAAACAGAATGTTGCTCTGCTTTTTGTTGATCGTTATTGATTGTCGAGTCGAAACTATTTGATATATATTGATATTTCGAGTATTTTACTAGCTCGCAACCAATCCAGCAAGCAAAAACACACCGTGTATCGCTGGCTTTACTCAGCGTAGCCACAAAGAGCAGATGTGAGCAATAAGTGAAACGTTTCGGGACGCACGATTTCCGACCAGGGCTGTCGCTTCTCCGACTTTCATTCGTAATTTCCGAAGCTAAGAAATCTTGAATTCTTCTTAGAAATAAATAAAGAATTCTCGAATTTTATGCGAAACATAGTTAGTTTTTCTTCAATTTTCTAGAAAAATAGTACTCGGTAAAATTTATTTGCTACATACTGCTTAAGTAAACGCGCGCAATAAAATATTTAATCAACATAGCGACTATTTTATACGAATAAATATACTTATATTTAAAAAAAAAATATTTCAAGCATAATATCTTTCTCTCTCCTGTCTTCTCATCGTTTCCCTCTTTTTCGGAAAACCGGAAGACTATCTCCGTGCAACGATCAGCACTGAAGTAGCAACCCAGTTTGCATAGTCAACAGCTTTTTTGCGTTCTTTTAGGAACGCACTGGAAACGTTCGTGTCCGTGGTCTGTTCCTGTTCGACCTGTTCACTATTCGCAACTAATATCGTGTGCGAAAAAAGAAATAGGTGGGCCAGTGTGAGCGACGGGAAAACGATAGCCAGACATATACTGGACAGCGTCGAAATACCGACCGGACGGCAGCAATTGTTACGTGATCGAGCGTTATGCATGATATTGCATATTGACGTGCGACCGCATAGTAAATCCTGAAACGGTATGCAGTCGGTCTCATTGTAGATCCGATCGTATTGAAACGGATATCGTAACGGCGCAAGATAGCGAACGGTACAAGTTTTACGTGAACGTGAGATTTCGCAATAACGTACGAGGAACCGCGTGCCGGCGCACATTGATCTACCGCGAGCACGGAAATTGGTTATTGAAAAAATGGCGGCCGACATTCCAGTGCAAAATAAGAACCGAATGATGGTGTTTAAGAACAAAGGCAAGGATCAGGAGGTGAGTAAATCGTTATTGCCTTTCCACGGGCGATAGTTGAGCTTTTAGCGTGATAAAAATTATTTATTAAGGTCGGAAGTCTTGCACGTCTGTCGCAATGCATGATATCATTTTTCATGAATTTATGCAGGCGTAGATACATCGAACTTCCTTTCTTTCCTTTCATTTTTCTTTCATATTTCTCCTTTTCCTTTGTTTTTCATCTATTTTTTCTCATCTTTCCATTTTTCACATTAATGGAAAGCTTTTTTTTTATCATTTTATCTCTATCTTTTTTATTCTTTTGCTTTTTTATATTTAATTTTTTTTCTATTTTATTCTTTTATAATTTGTATTGAAATTTGTTTTATTATTTCCATAATTATCTTGAAATCATATATATGATAATGCATTTCAAGATATATAATGACTTTATGGTATCATTTTCATTAAGATTTTATTGATATATATTATGTAGTTTCCTTTTCTCGAGATTAGACAAATTACTTGTGTTCATGTATTTATATCATGAATCGTATAGAAAAATCTCCTTCCTTTAAATATTTCTACTATATACTTCATTTATATAAAACACGATCAGCAATTTCATTATAGTTCTATTAATTGAACACAATTTATTTTTATATTTTTATAATTTTGTAGTCAAAATTATGATGTATAAAGTGATTTAAAAAATATTTAGAAATCGACTGATATTGTATAGTGACCAGTAATAATAGGTTCGTGTTTTATTCTTAAAGGCCAATGTCCACGATGCTAGAAATCGGTCCGATAAACATATAGCCAATAAAATTGCTGTTTTTCTATAAAAAATGCAAGTTGATTGGTTATACATTTCTCGGACCGATTTCTATCATGGACTATCTATCTATCGTCTACTTCATCGTGGACATTGACCTCTATAAGTATAGATAGAGAAGGACAAGATTAGCCATAGAAAACTAATCATAGAAAATAAGCCATAAAAAAGGAGCCATGGGACTCCAAGTCATGAGCACATAATATATCTAGACAACCTTTCCATTGTTAAGACTTTATTGTTTGGTTTTGTACAATGGTCTTATATTTTGGAATTGTGTTATGTACTAGAGATAATGATTTGGAAAAGAATTATTATGACAAATGATACATTATAATTTAGAAGCAACATTACAAAAAGTGAACATTATAATTAATATTTTTAGGAGATGAGAAGAAGACGCAATGAAGTGACAGTAGAATTACGTAAAAATAAGCGGGAGGAGACATTACAAAAAAGACGAAATGTACCTATTACAGATTCAACAGGTAATATTGAAAAATTATTTTTATTGTAATTTATTTTTACATGTAGCAATTTTTTATTAATATTTCTAATATTAGATGCAATAAATATTTAAGTATGTAATACTTAATAATATGTACTTTTTTAAATTTATATAGAGTAAGCTAAATTGATAATATTTTAAATTAACTCTTTTAAAGGCAAAAAACAAAATACTTAATTTTTATTTGTGATATTATTAAAATCACATTTTTATTTTTCTAACTTTGACTTTTACAAATACGAATACAATAAGCTTTATACTTTATTTAAACTACACAAATTACTAAAGGAAATTGAAAAAAGAATCAGTACCATCTGAAAAATATTTTGCACTTACAACAAAATTAAATTAACACCATATATTTATATAACTAATAGAAGTAACCAAATATCAATTAAATTATATTAAATAGTGAGAAAATATCTTTCTAATTTTTTTATATAATCTGAAAACATTTCAAATATATATCATATGTACACATATTGCAGTACTAACCTGTTCTATTTTCTTTCTATTTTCTTTCAAACAGATGAGGATGACATTGATAAAAATCTTTCGAAGATGAGTTTGGAAGAACTGGTAGCAAAAGCAGGCAGTTCAGACCCAGCAGTACAATTACAAGCTGTGCAATCAGCAAGGAAATTATTATCTTCAGATCGTAATCCGCCTATTGATCCATTGATAGAGAGTGGCATTTTACCAATTTTAGTTCGTTGTCTCGAACAGCATAACAAGTAAGAAAAATGTATTATTACAATTTTTTTATACTTGTAGATATGTGTCTTTGCTATATCTTTATACAACTTTTTGTTAAAATTTTGTAATTTTATGTAATTTTGAAGATAATGTATATTATGTTATATATTTATCTATGTGAGATATTTATGTAACTTTTGTCATTATTATTCTCTAGTCCATCGTTGCAATTTGAAGCAGCCTGGGCTTTAACAAATATTGCAAGTGGAACATCGGCTCAAACGCAAGCTGTGGTAGCTGCTGGTGCAGTTCCACTCTTTTTGCACTTGTTACTTTCAAGTCAGCAGAATGTGTGTGAACAAGCTGTGTGGGCCTTAGGTATGCTATTTGATTATATAAATTTCTATGTTTAAACCATATATAATGTCTCTTTTTATTCAAAATATGTTGAAAAATTTTAGATATGTATAAGTTGTGATATTATTACTTATTTCTTGCAGGTAACATTATTGGAGATGGTCCCCAACCTAGAGATTACGTTATTAATCTTGGTGTTGTACAGCCATTGCTAACATTTATTAAACCAGATATACCTATTACGTTTTTACGTAATGTAACATGGGTCATTGTAAACTTATGTAGGAATAAAGATCCACCGCCTCCAGTTCAAACCATAAAGGATATTTTGCCTGCTCTAAATGTGCTTATTCATCATAGCGACATTAATGTAAGTATTAACATCCATATGAATGTTTTTTTAATTTAACAAAAGAAAAATCTAAAAAAATAAAATTGCAAAAAAGATGGCTTTTACCAATTCCATAGTGTCCAATTTTTTCATCACATTTATTTCTTAAGATAATGGACGAATTATTAAATAATTTTATAATTATTTTTTCAATAGATTCTTGTTGATACCGTGTGGGCCTTGAGCTATTTGACTGATGGTGGAAACGAGCAAATTCAAATGGTTATAGACAGCGGTGTTGTGCCACGTCTAATACCGCTTCTTTCGCACAAAGAAGTTAAAGTCCAAACTGCTGCTCTTCGAGCAGTCGGAAATATTGTGACTGGTACAGATGAGCAAACGCAAACTGTTTTAAATTGTGATGCTCTTTCGCATTTTCCCAATTTATTGACTCATCCCAAGGAAAAGATTTGTAAAGAAGCAGTTTGGTTTCTTTCGAATATTACCGCTGGCAATCAATCCCAAGTCCAAGCGGTTATCGATGCGGGATTATTACCACTTATTATTCGTAATTTAGCAAAGGTAAGGCTTACAGTTTTATGCAAACAAAATGTGTACTTTAATATTACTTTGCACATTATTACATTTATTCTTTTCAACAGGGAGAGTTTCAAACTCAGAAAGAAGCTGCATGGGCAATTAGCAATCTCACTATAAGCGGTAACAGAGAACAAGTTGCGCGACTTATACAAGAAGGTGTTATTGGTCCATTTTGCGATCTCTTGTCGTGTAAAGATACTCAAGTTGTACAGGTGGTATTAGATGGCATCCACAACATGCTTAAACTCGCGGGTCCACACGTTGAACATTTGGCAAACATGATCGAAGAATGTTCCGGTTAGTATATTTTATTATTTTATCTATAATCTTTATCTCTTCTTTATCTACTTTTATACTTTTACGTATTTGTATATTTTACATATTGCAAAGTCCACAATAAAATGTATTTATATATATTTTTTTATTTACAGGTTTGGATAAAATTGAATTGTTGCAAAACCATGAAAATGTAGATATTTACAAATTAGCATACGATATCATCGAGCAATATTTCTCAGAAGAGGTAAAATATTTTTTTTCATATTTATAATTTATTCATAATATGAATTTTTAATCATTAAAAAGGGAGGTTTTAGTATTTTGAAATCAGACTTTATATACTTTCAAGTTTTACCTATATATAATCATTGATTTCAGGCGGATGATGCACCTTTGACGTCACAGGAAGCTTTTGAATTTGATCAGACGACGAGTATTCCGAGTGAAGGTTATAAATTCTGAGAGGGCCTCCACTTTTTATCCAATTGTGCCGTCCCCCGACAAACTCCAACGTGGAGCCATCTTGCTTTCTCTTTCCTATTTCTACATCTTCCTGCTCCGATGAAAGCATAGCAATATGAATTTACTGCTAATGAATTGAGAATTATCGCGTTTGCTGATCTAATGTGTGATTTATCAATTTATCCGTACTGGAAAGCCAGAACGCAAGTAAGATAATTGATTGTGGAATGAAGGAGCTGGTAATTATCAAACCGAGTGTCTATGTACTTTGATTTTTTTCTTTCCTTACTCTGATAAATGTATACGTTACCTCTTTTCTTTTATAATACATGATAAACGTATTAGCGAAGTCATTAGCTTCGGAGCTAATGAAACATATACGAGTAAATTATTCTAGTAAAATCTAATTAGCTGCACGTTGGGATGCACAGGAAATAAAAAGGATTTCTATTGCTTGATCATGCTGTTCTCTAATCTAACTCAGGACGAGTCTTGGTTAGCGATATTACTTTTATAAAATAATTCGTGTATATTTTAGGCATGTTAAATTTATAATGATATTGATTACTAAATAAATGAATCATTGACTACTCTTTGCTAGCATAATTGATAAGTGTGAATATCTCTGTAAGAAGGAGCAGATTAAACTAATAAAATTCCAATGTTAATTCGGCACACTTTAACTATCAGTCGATAATTTTATCTCGACTCATTAATCAAGACGTAGAAGGCGAATGTGTGCCTATGCCGATCCTTTAATTTCTATAACCTACCTTCTATAACCTATATTTATAAATTATAATTTCAATTACGTAAACTGTATAAATAATAAATTATCTGGAATTATACATTTTTTTAATGTAATATACGAATATATATATATATACACACATAATTAAGACTCTTCTTTAAATTCTATCGTGGGATCAATAAATCGATGTACATCATCTGCATACATTTCCTCAGGAAGCGATTCTTCGGTAATGCTTGGTAAATAAGTAGGGAAATTCGGCGCTTCCTTATGTCGCCTCAGAGGAAGTATTGTATCAAACATGTAACAGTAAGTGTTGGTTTCGCCAGGTATATTTTGTCCCAGGACCCAAATTATGTTATACTTCGTATTTATTCGTAGAATCTGCGAAATAATATAGTAATTATTCAATGTTCGGTCATTCTAAATTTATAAAGTTAAAAAAAGGACAACAAAATTTATAAATCACAGATTAAATTTCAGGGATGATGTGGGCATTAATTTTTGGTCTTTTACATATTTTCGTGAATATACTTCTATAGGAAAGGTTTTTATCTTTTTGAGATAATCTTACCCGAACGCCTCTAAGAATACGCCACCTATTACCCATGTGTCCTGGCATTTTGGTGCCAGGCATGACTCGGGCTTTTGTGCCACCTGACCCGATATTTCCGGGTCTTCTGTGAGTTTTGGTTACACCATGACTGGCAGGCATGCCTTTAAAGCCCCATCGTTTCATAACACCTTGAAAGCCACGGTCTATCCTAATAGAATTCACGTATTTTAGTTTTGACGCAGATTACGTGCAATTAATATCATTATTCTATTTCTTCTTTTATATAAAAGTATAGTAGCACAATATAAAATAGCAAGTGTAAAGTATATTTACGTCTTTGCACGGATATCGACGACGTCTCCTATTTTAAAATGTGCAGCAAACAATGGAGTTCCTGGTTGTAATGCCGCTTCCGGAGATATCATAAATCTTCTTAGTATACGTTTTGGCATAACTCCAGTGTCGTTAAAGATACCATAATATTCTTTAGTGACCTATAATAAGACGATTGCTAATTTATTTACATGAAAAATGCGTTTAACTCCTTGCGTTAATATTTAACTAGCAATTGCATGAAACTATTTAATTTGGCATTCAAAGAGTACACGTTATACTTCTATTTTTTAGTTCTCAAAATTTTTTAGAATAGTATTTCGTGCAAGAAACATTTTGAGATATTAGTTGCATATATGAAACCTATCGTTTTTAGCTCAGTACTATATTTAAAAGCCATAATTCAACGCAAGGAATTAATATATATGTATACATAAACTTTAAATTACATACCAATTGTGGATTTATATTTTCTGCACCTACTACAAGACATCCCAATCTGTTTTTAATTTGTATTGCAGGTTTGGAGCTTATTACTGGATTAAACTTCTCTGGTGGTATATATTTTACTACTTCATTATCAACGATCTGAATAAAATAAAATGAAACACAGAATTATATAAAAATATTAAACTGAAAACAGTAGTGAACATTCCTTATTGGAGATAAAAGTTTAGAATTGATTTTTTTTACCTGAAGTAATGTTGAGGTAACCTTTTTTCCATTTTTCAACCATAATGGATAAATTCCTATTTTTTTAGCAATTAAACCAGTACGTTTCATATTTGGTTTCCATTCTGTTATTGGTTCAATTGGATCTATTTTCAAAGGGGAAAGACTCATTCCAAATCCAATATTAGGTGGACCATATTTATCTTGAACTACTTCTTCAAGAAACTGTTTATTATCTTCTGTTAAACGTTCGTCATGCCGCTATAAAAAAAATTTAATTATTTAATACATATTTTTTATAAACTACTGGTATACCATTCATATTTAAATATATACCAGATACATACAACATGTAGTGGTTTTGGAAGCCACTGTGGGAGACGATACCTAGTTTTAAGACTAGGTATATACTTTTCTCGCTTTGGAATAGAAGTCACATTGATACTAAAAATTTACAAAAACATGAATCAGTTTTTAAAGATTTATATAAATTTTTGTTATAGTTACATTCTACATCTTTTTATTAAGCGCAAAACACTAAAATCTTTTTCTGAACATCTAGCATAGTTAGTTGAACATTTTAATCAACTCTGTATTTATTGTTTCATAATATTATTTTGTAAGTTTTCATAACAATTGTGATAAATTTGAGAAATCAAAGAATTGTGAAGTTAATTGCTGAGATCTACAAAATAGAACTCAACAATTAGCTTCACGATTCTCTTTGATCTATTTTGTAATTTTATTTATTTAATCTTTTTTATCAAGTATTGCGGCCATATATCATTTTATAAGTATATAAAATTATACTGTTAAATAAAATACCAAACGTAAATAATTCACAGATATAGTGTAAATTTTTAAATAATTTTTTTATAAGATGATAGACTGTAGCATACCTTTGTTTCAAGCATTTGTGAAAAAGTTGAAGTCCATTAATATTTTTTAAAAGCGATGTCATTCTTAATAAACTAATCTTACAGTTTTCGCGCGTACTAAATTTTGTACATATAGATATTTAACCTAAAAGAAGAGAACCATGTATTTATTATATTAGAAAAGCCGACCACCTCACTTTAAGGTCAATCCAGACAGACTTGCATAAATGCATAATGCGTATTCACAGAAGAATTAATCATGCATCCAAAATAAAGAATATGACATTTTTTACATTCGGTAAATGTAATTGATCGATTTTCTGTGCACATTATACATTATGGAATTATATATATTCTCTAAATAGCCTTTGCCATATCAATATTGATAATAAAAATGTTATTTATTGTGGGAGCGCCATAAGCACATCGTCGATATAGAAATTAAATTACGCTTTCTCGCAGAACCAATAAGAAGCTACCACGATTCAAGCTTTAAAGACTTGGATGGTGTACTTTGATGTTGTGTGTAACGTCTGCTAGGATGGCAGGATTAAAATTAAATTGGGTGTTATTTGTAAATTTAACGATATGTGTTGTATTAACAATAGCTGGGTAAGAAAGAAAAATGTCTTTTTATAATATTTTATATGATAATCCTTTGAAAACAATTTATAAGTACTAAACCGCATAACCTTTTATTCAACTTACTCTTGTACTCTTGTAAATTTTTACGTATATCATAGAGAGTTATTTAATAACTTTTTTAAAGTCAAAGATAAAGACAGAAAATATACAAGAGTTTAAATTATCTTTTCAATTTTATTAATTGTGAAGATTAGTATATCTTGTATAATATTGTCCACATCATCACTCTGATGCAATTTTTTCTTGATTTTTTTCATTATATGAAGATGTGCAAAAATAATAGAGAGCTTATTATAATATATTATTATTTTCTTTTTGCAGAAGAGATTTTTATAATATATTAGGTTTATCACGTAGTGCAAGTACGCATGCAGTAAAAAAGGCTTATAGACAATTAGCAAAAGAATTGCATCCTGATAAGAATAAAGATGATCCAGATGCCTCCCAAAAGTTTCAAGACTTGGGGGCAGCTTATGAGGTATTGTCAGATCCTGAAAAAAGAGCAATGTATGATAGATGTGGAGAAGAGTGTTTAAAAAAGGATGGCATGATGAACAATAATATGGATCCTTTCGCAAGTTTCTTCGGTGATTTTAGTTTCCATTTTGGTGGAGAATCTCATCAACACCATGAAACGCCTAGAGGTGCAAATGTCGTGATAGATTTATTTGTTACTTTAGAAGAATTGTACAGTGGCAATTTTATTGAGGTAAATTTTTTTATTATAATTAATATAACATAATATAACTTTTTTCTTTTCAACCTCATTTTGTTGCTATATTTCAGATTACAAGAAATAAGCCGGTTATGAAGGCGGCAAAAGGAACAAGAAAATGTAATTGTAGGCAAGAATTAGTTACTCGCAATTTAGGAAATGGGAGATTCCAAATGACGCAACAACAAGTCTGCTCAGAATGTCCAAATGTGAAATTGGTGAATGAGGAACGTGTATTAGAGGTAGAAGTTGAACCGGGAATGGTAGATGGTCAAGAAACCAAATTTACAGCTGAAGGAGAGCCGCATCTTGACGGAGAACCAGGCGATTTGATATTAAAGTAAGTGCATATATCTTTCTATATCTATAATTTGTCAAATAGAGATTTAATATAGCTATATATATAATTACAAACCAACTGTTTATTGTAGGATACGAACTATACCTCATCCCGTTTTTGAAAGAAGAGGCGATGATTTGTACACAAACATTACTATATCCATGCAAGACGCTCTAATAGGCTTCACGATGGAAATAACGCATTTGGATGGTCACAAAGTGACTGTTCAAAGGGACAAAGTTACCAAACCTGGTGCCCGTATTCGGAAAAAGGGTGAAGGGATGCCTAATTATAATAATAACAATCTCCATGGTACTTTACATATTACTGTTGATGTCGCATTCCCCGATACCGATTTTACAAATGAACAAAAAGAAGGTAAGGCAAAGTGCGCTACATTAGTGCACGAAATTTTCTCTATTTTATTATTGCGTGTTATAAATTGTTTTATTGTATATTTTAGAAATAAAGAAGTTGCTGCAGCAAAGTTCTGTGAACCGAGTATACAATGGTATACGTGGCAATTAGATATCTATATGTACAAAGTGGATGCAAAGTGGATGCCTCGAATGTATGTATGTTTGATATTGTATGTTTGTATTAAGAGCGACTTGCTTCCTTGTTAAGAAATGCCAGTGAGTTTGATGATTTAATTGATGAGGCTGGATAAACTGAATACACATGTGATTCCATATAAATTTTATCACCAGTATATGCAAACATTTCATATAGAGGCAAAAGACTGGTTAAACTGGTTCTTATCGCCAACAAGTTGAGTCAATACTGAGTAATGTTGAGTCAACATAAAGTAATTTATTTAATAACTTAAGTTATATTCTGTTTGGTTGAATCACATGAGTGACGTATGAAAGATTGATATACATGCGAACAATTTTTGCATTTAATATTACAAATTAAAGAGAAAAAAAAATAAATAAAAATTATACTGTCAGATTTTTGTATTTTGCATTAAGAGCGAGTTGCTCTTATAATTCTAATTATTTTTTCCGTGATTTTCGTTATCTTTTCCCACTTTTCCTCTTATGTTTCCTCATTACTTCACATTTGATTGACCGTAGAATAAAAAAACGATTGCTATGCCATGGTATCTTTCGTGATGTGCTCGAACGAATAAGCAAATTAAGTAGCGCGATAACAGCAAGAGGGAAATGGGCAAAAATAAGGAAAATAAAAAAATGTAATACAAATGTAGCAAATGTACACCAACATGAATATACGAAGAAAGTTCTTGGGTAGTGATTTCAAAAGATATTTCAAACATTTCTCAGTAAATCGATAATGATTATATAGTATCGTAATTAAATTAATAAACATGCAATATTTATAGCCGACTTCTTTAATTCGAATATCTGAATATTTTACGTGACAGTAACTTATATATAATTCAGTCGGAAATACATTCCACTTACAGTATAACAAAGGACTTAGTATTATTCTTCCTTTACTTAGACTTCAACTGTAAAAAATAAATATACCAAAACATTTGATATGAAGTATGTTATTGGAAGTTGTAGAACATTTCATTTATATGTTGGTGCAAAGTTCTTAGGGATTATAAAAAATTCTTATTGGAGATTATAATTTCATTTAAATATGTAGAATAATTTTCAATAACAGTTAACTAATTTATCCTCGCAATTGTGAAAGAATAGTTTCGATGAAAAATATATACCCATAGAGAATAGTAAAATATCCTTTTTTATTTGTATAGCGTCGGCGGATTGGTCGCTCAGATTGATCGCCGTAATATGTTGTTACATTAGTTTACAGATGTTAAAAGCTTATTGATAATCTTAAGAACTGATAGAAAAGGTGCGGGACAGTCCGTACGATAGCCATTTTGATACGAATTATAGCGAAGGAAATACATTTCTTCATCGAATTAGTGTAGATCTGTCTGACTATGACGTTCGTGCGAATGAGCAAGCAATGGCAAGCAAGTGATTGAGTGAGAGAAAGATGCAGAGAGCGAGGTGGGCGCGAGCATCTAATCAGACAATTCTACATAAACATTTGTAGATATCTATTATTGCATAATTCACTTAATCACAATGAAATGTGTGGAAGAATATATGTGTAAATGAATACTGAGTTGTGCGGAATGTTCGCGATACAATAAAGGTTCATAAATATCGTATCAAGATATATAGAATATGGATTTTGTGGGTGATTTCTTTATGTTATTATCAAGCTGCTTGGCGGTTGTACATACAAAAACATTGTCAGTTTTCATCAGTTGGAGTTTGCCAGAACAATTTTACACTGTAATTGTTCTCCAAACTATCTACTCCAGTTCTCTTCAAGTTCCGATTTCAATTATCAGATATAAAATATGAATATTCTAATAGTCACTTGCGAAATTGAGTGGAGTTTGTCAAAATAGCTTTATATGTAATGGTTCTCTTAACTGTCTAATCGAATTATCTCTAATATCAAGCTTCAGTTTAAATTATCAATTACAAAACGTTAACACACACTTTAATAATCGTTTACAAAATTGTACGAAGTTCATCGGAACAGTTTTAAGCTGCAATTGTTCTCCAAATTTACTCAAACTTCAATTCTCCTCTTCGCTCCGATTTAAATTATCCTATAAAAAGTGAATATTCTAATATCTATTTTAAAAACTTGAATGAAACTTGTCGAAACAATATAATGGTGTTCTAAGCTATCTAAGTGAACCTCAGTTGTCTTCAACTTCAAGCCCCGATTTAAATTATGAGATACAAAAAGTTGACGCGCCAACCATCATCAGATATGTCGCGCCTAAAGGCAGTAGCAGTACAGACGCATGTTGAATTCGTCAACGCAGGCACTCTGCGTGCCGTAAGCGTTCAGTCTGCTGACCGATCCGACTAACTTGCGAGTATTGTCATCCGCTTTGTAGCGTATCGTACCTTCGAAGACCGCATCACCCGGCACAGTCTGTATAGTCACTGTATAATCCATCAGCGTCGCGCCGTCCGTCATGTCCAGCCACACGTTCGCGTCCTTGATCAGCTTCAGGCGCAGCGTCGCGCAGAGCGGATACCTGCTCAGCATGGTGTTCAATTCATTCATGAGGAACGACACGCTGTCTTGAAGATTGGTGTCGTTCTGCGAGACGGTGTTGCTGGTGTGGCACATGCACCAGTGATTCGCTATATGCGCCATGTCGCAGGTGCGAGTGTCCGGCACCGGCATGAACCAGCTGATGCCGCGCGAAACCGGCGACGCCGCTTGCACCCTGATGCGCCTCTTCAGGAACGGCTCACGCAGCGCTTGCGGATTCAGCAGGTCCTTCAACGTTTCGTGAAGGTCGAAGGGCGTCGTGAGACTGTGGCCGTTCCTGCGCAAGTTGCCCCAAGCCAGCGGGTACTTCTCTCTCCACCATTGCGGCAGCACGATGAACACGAACGGCAGACTGTCCTCGATTCGTCCTTGATACGTCTGCCGAAATTGACCCCACCGCATCCCGTGGTCGCTCATCACGATCAGGGCGGTGCGACTGAGCAAACCCTCGCGCGACACGTACTCGACGAAATCGTGATACGAGTCGTCGCCCTGCCTGGCGTACGTGAAGTAGTCGTGGGTGAGACTGGCCTGCCAGATGAAGGCGAAGTAGAGCTCCGTGGAGAACTCGAGCGCTATTTTGCGGCCGTAATCCAGCAGGCAGTCGAACGTCTTCCTCGTGCCGAGGCAGAGGTGAGCGTTCGACTTGTGGGTGTTGCCGATGTCGTTCTCGGCGCCGACGAAGAAGGGCCGCTGGTAATAATCCGTCGGCGGCTCGCTGAATCCCTTTTTCAGGTAATTGAACGTGGTCATCCAGGAGGCGTCCTCGCCGAACATCGTGCGGTAACCGGCGGCGCTGAACTTCTTCCACAGAAGCGGGCAGTCGTCGAAGGTTTTGTCAGTCGTCTGCCAGCATATACTCTGCAGCTCCTCCTGACTCAGACCGCTCAGCACCGGCACGAGATTCGGATACGTGTTGTCAGCGACCTTGGTGTAGCCCAGCATCTCCACCGCGCCGAGGGACTGCAGGATTTTCAAGGTCTTCGGCATCATACGGTGGAAGTTCATCCTGGAAACCGAATCGAGTCCGATAACGAGGACACTGAGACGATCGCCGGCGGCCGAATCCGCGCTCAGCGCCTGCTTGCATCTTTCCTCCACCGAAGGCTTGCGAGGTAAGAAAGCGTAATAATCCCTGTATATCATTTCGTTTTTTCGATAACACTCGACCTTTACGAACTCGGTGTTTACGGTGAAGGAGCCTTGAAAAGGATAGCACTGTGCGTCATATCTGAAAACGTGATGAAATATTAGTATGATTCTATAATATATTTAGACCGAGCATTAAATCGTCATTTAAAGACAAGTCGAGCTACATTGATCTTTTTTTTTCTGTCTATAGAAAGAATTATAATCTGGAAAAAGTAACTCGTTAAAATAGTCTTGACTCCGAAAATTGTGCTGGCAGCTATTAATATATTTTAAAATCGTTATTGTGATTTAGGGACTTGCAAAATTAACATGCTGAAGAATACGTGTTATCACAAATAAAAGTAAAATTTTTTATATTAGATAACGAATCGAAATATTATTTAATTATTACATAATATTTCTTGATTTTAGACTATATATTTATAGAGATCACAAAAAGGTGTTATTTAGATAAACGTTATTTTGATAAGAAGCACCTGATGCAACTTTATTAATTTGCTTGCATAATAATAAGTGATTGCTTCTTACACAGGTATAAATTTATGAAGTTATACGTATAATTAATTTTTTATTTACTGTAATCCATTGAAAGATAGATTTTCTGATCAATTTGGAGTCGATTTTTCCGAAACTTTTAAATTTTCCACATTATATATCTTTATAGCTAAGCTAGAAAGTAAAATTCTATTGAAATTTGTTTAAAATTAATTAAAGAACGTAGTTCTCCTATTTATTTGTCTAAGCTTAATTCATAAAAAGCACTTATCTTTCACAATAATAATTTAGAAATCGTCGATGCATCGATAGTCGAATTTTTGTTAAGAAAAATTTGTTATTAAAATTAAAATCACGAGTTACAAAATCTTATATATAAATGAATTATTTATAATACTAACACAACAGAATTATCGTTGTCCTTTGGCCGCCAAAACGGTCGCCAGCAGCAATTTATGCTCTCCGAGCTGTTGTAGAATTCGTTCCATGCCAGCGGGTTAATAAACAGCGCGGTATTATTCGCTTCAATTAGTGGTGGAGAATTTCCATATTCGCATTCGAAAGGTGTTTCCTGAGGTATAAAACGTTGAACTGCGGGATCGAAAGGATCCATAGCAGGCAGCCGGCATCCTTTGTTATGAACTAGAAATCCGCCACTACCTATCGACGTATACGTGGTTGACGCTGATTCATATTCCTCTGAAAAGTTTGCAAATTAATAATTAAAGTAGGCACGAAAATGATATAAGCGAGATTATTTTCATCTATTTACAATTCAGGAATTATTATATTTTGATATTTTTGTTTAAAAAGAATCGGTTTTCTTAAATTGATTAAAAAATCTACAAATAGTTATAAATTTTTTCGAATTTTTTAAACCATTTTTCTAACAATAAGAAAAGAGAATAAAGTGAATTGTTAATTTAATACTCACGCGTTGCTACAGTTTGAGGGTCCGATTTGGCCATTGCACCGAATCGAATAATCCGAAATTGACCGATGTTGTAATTGTTGATAATGAAAAGTGATATTAGTAGAAAAATCAGTATTGCGATCAGCCATCTTCGTAGTCGTAGACCTCCTTTTTGTATTCTGGTCTTGATTAATGCCGTGGCACTCTCATCGTCAACAGCTTTTTTGCCGCTGCGGAACAGTGCCTGTCAAAGAAAAAAAGAGATTGACACGTTTTACGATAAGAAATTATCATTCTATAAAAATTGCAAATTAAATACAATTAAAGTTTTACAAACATTAGAAATCTTAGTTGAAATATTGTTAACTAATGCTTCTCGTTTATAATTTTATCAAAGAATAATCGAATTTTGAAACAAGCTTAAAAGTCTGTTCGCATTTCAATGTATTTTGGATATTTTGGAGACTAAAGTCAAAATTGAAAGAATCAATTAACGTGATTAATACTTTCAAATATGCATATCTCTGTAAAAAAGCATCATCTTAGTTGCAACTTTAATCTGTTTTTATACGCTTGCTAATTGTAATTGCTTGCTAAAATATATTTTTAGAACAACATTAATTTTTAAGTCAGTTGTAAGATATTATTTTCTAAAGATATTTTTTTGACTTTAGCCTATTAATTTACCGAAAATCTAAATTTATCTTATCAATAAAACATTGGAAAATATTGTCTAAAATCTGATACGCGCTTAACAAATGAAAACAAATTAATTATTACGTGCAGCATGCTAGAGAAGTTTCGGAACAAAAGGAAATGTACTTTACCTCCTCGGGACAATGATGTTCACGCATAACAAAGCGGTTGGTGCGCGCATCAAACACTTTCGTACATGTGAGACGCAACTCCACTATTAATATATACATTATGTCCACTTATTTGATAAAAGATTATCAAATAAGTGATTATGAATCACGTTCCAGTAACTAACCACTGTCGATAGCGATAACAGGGAACATTGATATCGTAATCGATTCAAACATCTGTTTCGTTAAATATTTGAAATCATACACGAATTTACGACGCACAGACTTATGAATCTTTCCGCTGCACATTTCATCAGCGGCTAATACAAAAGGGATATGTTAATAATGAAATGTTTTCCATCGTATTAAAATTCTCGCACAAAGAACAGCAGCTTATGACATAAAATTTAATTGAGCAGTCTTGGTCCTTATATTTTCCAGCACTCTCTTTGCAAAAATCAAATTTTTCTTCTATCAGTCCTTGTTGATATATGTATCGTCCTTATATCGTTTTTAATTATTGATTATGAAGCTCGTTTTTAATTATTGATCGTCAATTTTATAATTCGCAACGGGAAGCGCAATGAACAAATGCATCGAACATAGCAGTATTTACACGAGTTAACCCGTCGTGTAATACGCGCGTGCAAAATACAAAATGGGCAAACGTATCTATTGATATCGAAGCAGGTATCGTTTGCTTAATGATTGTCTATTTGAATGAGCTGCAAATTGGCGAACGTTTCCTTTCTCTCTTTCTTTCTCTCCTTCCCGTTGTTCTCTTTTTTTATTCTCTTTACGATCATTAAACTCACATTTCTTCTACGTGATATGTTCGTATGGTCCATGAATTTTGTAACGATGATTACGAGATTGCGAGATTAATTAGCACGTTTCACAAATGCAATCCAGCCTCTTGTTGATGTTCGCGGCCGTCGCCATGGACCTGGAAGACTAGTAGATCGTTGACTGGACACCGCGGTCGTTCAGATAGCATATATAACAATACATTAATCAAGAAGTGTCGCAGTGTCATTCGTTTCAAGGGGCGTTTCAGTTTAATCGCTACAATTTGTTTCGATTTCTCAATTCGACATGTTTGCTAGTGCAATAACGTACGCGTTGGCTCTGCTTCTGCGAAACGCATATCGATTCTCATTATTTGATTTATGATTTTCTCATTATTTGATTTATGATTGTGCGAAATGTTGTTCGAATTTCTTTATATCTGTTTCATTCACACTTGCTCCTCGACAGTCAGATCCCTGTACTTTTGTTGTTGAACATGTACATTGAACGTTTTTTTTTCGCCCGTATAAAACTAAACCGGTCGTTAATGGGTAATCTACATTAGGTCTAATTTAGTTGAGAGACTTCTATCTGTCACTTCTATCAATTACTATCAATCACTCGCACTATTGTACTGCTCCTTTTGAGATTAAACTGGCAGCATATGAATATTCCCGTTCAAGGCGGAAGATCGCTCCATCAATTATTTATCAATTATTTCCACCACCGTGCTCGTAGCAATGACGTACAACTAACTGACTGCAGCGCATAGATACAATGTATCTATGCACAGAGCAACAGAATCTGTTCTTTCCTGCTTCTTCTTCGTCCCATTTAAAGTTTCACTCTTTTTTTTTCTAGCATCTACTTGATTGCGCGTTAATGGCGTGCACATCTTCAGAGAACATGTATCCATCGATTGTATTTCTGAAACAACCAGCACAATTAATTATGTCTTAGACATATTTTTTCCTTTTGTGATAGACGGTCATTGATATTTTTCGTGATATGAATACAGAATATACAGTAAATACTGCAAGTGTTTTGTCTGCGAGATTTTTACTCAAATAATTTTATTACGATTTTATTTAATTTTATAATACTTATTTATGAAGTTTCTGTCAAACCACAAAATCTATAATACTTCGATAAAAAATAATTTAAAACAAGATAAAATATGAGAAAAATAAATGTTTCTATGAAGTTTTAGATTAATCTTTTCTTGTAAAAATTGTTCATTATTAGATAATATTTTTACATTTGTTTATGCCTAAGTTAACATCAGTCTGATCCATATTTAATAATTCTGTTTCTGTTTTTATTTTATCAAAGAAAATCAACTTGTACGCGTAACGCGATTTTCAGGATAACCGAGTTAATTTATTACTACTTTGCGTGATTAATAGAGAGAGCAAGGTATACATACATTCAGCCGAGCCTTGTATCTTCGTGCATGTGAGTTTGAAGAAATGAAGTTCTCAGACAACTATTTTTCTGTAATTTCCACTGTATCTCATTCACTGTAGCTTCGCAGGTACAACTGAGCGTAATACATGTTCATCGGTGCGCTTTAGCGTTTTCCAGCGTTTTTCAATATCCAAGTCTACAATTCTTCTCATAATGCAATTTTAATCTGCAAAACAATCTCGTCGCTCCGTCTGTCAATACAATAGCTGTTGCTTCTTTAATTAATACACCGTCAGCCCATCGATCGCATTTGCTCCATACAGAATCCGCACTCTCGCCGGAGAGCGATACGTACAGACGCGAACATCGGGAGGATGCAAGCTCCTCGTCTGCTGGAGGAATGTATGCAGATCGGTATTCGACTACCGACCGATCGGCATCTTCCCCGTCATCTTTGCGCCGACGTTCGGTCTGTCATCAGCACGCGGGAGAAACCGCACACGTTTCAACGGCCGATTCTCTCGGAGATGCTTCAGGCAGGCGTTGCCGCGTCCCGGCGGGCTTGGGGTTCGACCGATAATGCGTGCGGACGCCCTAGTCGGCCGAGACTGGGCGAGAGGAGATGAGACGCGGAGGAGGACCAGGGTCTCTGGTCGATATCGGAGCGCGCGCGCTTCTTCGGCGCGCACGGCAACGAGCGCCGAGGGAGCGACGGCCTGACAGGTCAGCGCACAGTGCACAATTAGAATAAAATCAAAACAGGACAAAAAAACTGTCTTAGAGAAAGTGCAAAGACGGAGGAAGGCGAGGAAAATAATTTTCAGTGATGATATTAATGCGTTAGAAAAGACGTATGGGCGCACGGGGTACAGATATCGTGTATTATAACAGTATCTAAGAGATTAGATTATATTACCCAAACTACACACACTTATTTTGTCATTATGTTATTTTCCTACATATTCATACCGCTTTTACGTTGAACTCGTCATTTTCCTTTATGCTAATTTTGTATAAATCAATACCATAAGACAATATATATTTTTTGGGAAGAATTTTATCTGTTTAGGAATCACTGTGCGATGAAAGTCACATATTAAAATAAATTACACGATTGAACTGTATGAATAATTTAAAATAGAAACGTTTAAATTATTTTTATGGCTTGAGAGAAACTAATGATCGAATTGCGAAGATTTGCTTATTTGAATAGTTTAAACATCGCAGAAAGTTTAAGCAAAATCTTCGCTTAATACATTGATTAAGCGTATTCAGATATACATTACAAGTTTGGAAATTTTGACGAACATAACATTCCAACTGTTTGAATTGTTTAATCACTGGAGAATTTCGAGCACTACTTGCAGTCGAGCGCACAATCACTGTTCACCTGTCTCACTTCTCTTAATGTCAATTTTTTTTGTCGTTTATCGATGATCGTTAACCGATATATCAGTGCCGTTTAATCAGCGCTTATACAAAACACAGCTCTATGTTCGAGTAGCTTAGGATTGAATTTTAATCTATTATTTAGAAAATATTGGAAACTCTTTTGGGATATATTTTTTTTAGAAAAGTATGTCTGTTCCTTCTTTAGAATTTGTTTGAATCTCATAATATAATTTTATTTTGATGTTTTTGTCATTATATTACTTTGGGAAAGTAAATTATTTTAGACAATAATCCAATTTATTTAATTGTATTATCAATATCAACAAACTTGATATGCATTATGCGTTACAATGATTTATTTATCAAGGTTATCATTTCATTATCTACAGTTATAAAATCTGAGCGAATTAAGCGAATCAAGGACAGCGAAACATTGATAAGTTTAATATTAACAGTGAGTAGTATATATATTATTAAAATAACACAAAATTTATTGCTTATATATATATATTAACTTTTATAAATTATATTGAAAAAATGGAACAGCTTTTTACTAATTTTTTAAAAATATTCGAAAATAATTAATACATAGATATTTTAAAAACTCTGAAATAACTTAAACAAAACTTAAAAATTTTTATAGTTACTTAAAAGAATTTTTCAAATTTTTAAAGTTACTAAACAAAACTTTAATAAATTTTAGGCCAGTCTAAAGTAAATTTTCCTAAAAGATATCACATATATAATCACGGTATACATACAAAAAAGTGAGAGTTGTACATTCTGAGCTTTATCTTTTTTATATTTGTTGATAACAAAATATCTGTATTTAATTTGTATTAAGAATCGAAGCTATATGATACAATTAAATCTCCACATAGAGCTTATTCTCGATTTATAATTTATAGTAGTACAGACATGTACCAAATGGTAATGTCGTTTACCGGCAGTGAGAAATAAGTGTAGTTATCAATAGTTGATAAACTTACAAGCTGTGTTATCAACAAATGAAAAGTGTAATGGAACATGGTTATTGTAGATTTTTATACTTTTATCTTTTTCTTTTTATTTTCTCTCTTGCGCTATTTTTTCATTACTTTATATTTGTTTATATTCAAGTAAAAAAACGATTAAAAAATACTATATTATTGATTTATTACCATCAAAATCTATTACCATCGTGATCTTTTGTTTTGATACTTGTTGAATGTATCGATGATCGATGCAGCGCTGCTTGCATCTATTTTTCAGTCGCCATGACACTTTGTGCTACGAGGCGGCTTGCAACGTACAACGCGAACGCTCTGCGTTTATGCTTATTATGTATTTTACCCTTTAAAAGTGTAAATTAAGTACAAATTCTTGTTGTGAGTATTGATTAAAGTAATGCGCGATTGCTCGGACGTATTATTTTTACCGCGGTTGTGCGGGATTAATTGTGTTTCGTCGATTTCAATTTGCACTACACCGATGTACATTCCGTGTGAATTCGGTGCAAAATCAGTAAGTATAGATTCCGACGCGGGAAAATAATTTAAGGGTAGAGAATGTATTTTATTTTGTGTTTCGTATATCGTAGCGTAATAATTTTGCGACGTAAATCAATGATTTTTAAGAGTAAAAATTTAAATTAATCTTGCATGCCAATTGATTCTTACATTTTTCTTGCATATAAATTATATAAAGGTTACACTTGTTGCTCTGTGTTGAGAGACATAGTTGAGAAATAAAACTATAGAGAGGTTATATTGGAGGTTAAAAATTTAATTGCAAGTGTGGAATTATCATTTCTTAAGACTGATATATGATATCTAACTAGAAGAGAGAGAGAAAAGTAATATTTCTTATGAATATGATATAAAATCTGAAATCTCGAATTACATAATTACGACAATCTTAATTTGCTCAAACATTTCGGATAAATTATTACAAAATTAATGAATTGTTGCGATTACTTCAATACCTCAATCACTTTAACATTTTGATAATCGTAATACCTCGACATTCAAGATTACTCAGAGTATAAACTTCGAATAATACAATCATAAAATGCGTATTTACGGCTCATTCTTATATATTTCTTTCTTATTTTTGTTTTCAAGATTTTCTATATAATACTTATTTTATATTTTTAGGAAATATATAATATTACACAGCAAAGCTACAAGAAACAGATCTGCAGCGTAAGTCTTTTTCGCCTTCTGCTCTATCATCATTATTTCTATAATGCATCGGTTTGCAAAGTGCGAATGTTTTGTAATTAATTATGCATTTTATTCCTAAAAAGTTCATAACGAGTGTGAATTTGTTGTGCCGGGAGTGCCGATTAAAGTAACGGGCGAGTGCTTGCGTAATTTTTGTAATTTTTTAAAATAAAGTTTACAGATTTAAATTTTGTATAGTAGTACGCGAAACAAAGTGCAAGCATTCCTTAATTTTTAGCATCAGTGACATTGATACAAAACAATCTAAGGCAGATTCTGTGGCGGAGCAAACTGCAATACCCTAGTTAGTGAGTACAATTTCTTGCTTATTATTAATATGTATTTAAATATGTATATATTATTTCATAAAAACATACGTATACAATTACAATTTTTATGTATTAAATATTTATTAATAATTAATATTATTCAAAATAATTATTTGAAATTATTTATTAAAACATTTATTATATGTGTTAAAATTTTTAAATAATTTTCTAAGCAATTTGTTGTTATATTTTTTTATCAAAATAGAAATAATGAAATAAAACGCACTGTATCGGCATATATAAAACGTATAATTTATACTAAAATATATGTTTTAATTTCTTCAGATACAGCTGACAGCGTACTTGGCTAGGGTACAACGACCGGTGAGTGAATTAATTTTATTATATTTTATTGCATTTATATGCCAATGTATAATTGAACTAATGCAAAAATAATCTGCTGTCTTTTCACTCGTCAATATTAATTATACATTTACTATCGTAATTAAAAGCGAGATAAGTACGGAAAGGGCAAAAACTGAATGAGAAAAAAAAGAAAATCGGGGAAACAATTTTTGCGCATTATCTTATTGCTCCGTTATTGCTGCTACAGTTTTTAAAAAATTGAAAAAGCTGTATAAAGACATAATAATTTTTAATAGTTAAACGTTCTACACACATAACTACGCATGTACATGTATAAAAAAGAAATGAGTGCGATAAATAGTTTAAATTGCACTGTTTTGTCATCATAATAATGGTTTATTGTTGAAGTGATATAGTTATAATGATTCGTAACGTATTTAACTACAATGATAGGTCTTTTATCTAATACAATCGTGTTTATACATGGATTATACAATATTTACAATAACTTAAGATCGTATAGCAATACTTTTTTGGACAATTTCACAGGGCGTCATGCCAGGCCGATAGCTATCTGAATATTCCTGTCTGTGTCACGTAATATTTCATTCGCACGTGTAAAGTATTTATACGGCATACATACGAGACGTGCGCAACTCTTAAACGCATGTCGATCATTACATTACGAAAATTTTGGTAATACACTTAGGATGTACATCGACTGTTCGGTACGCTATTCACTTTGCTATACTTATCGACCATTTATTCGCCACACATTCACTATTTACAATACAACTTTACCCGCGATGCTCGTGAAAGATCGCCGTTCTTTGACACTTTCTCGAAAAAGGAAAAAGAAATATTACATTTTTTTATAGAAATATTTCTCCTTATATATCGACAATCATCGTGAAATTTATAAAGCGACAAATGCTTTCCCTCGAAAGATTCTTTCATCCTCGGATTGCAGACCATAGCGTCGAATAATTCTTCCTATTTATTTTTGTAAAATATACAAATTCATAAAGTCATCTACATGACACTGTAAAACAATTGTCGAGTGGCAATTCGATTGGTAATTAGCTAGATGAAGATTAGATCCATTTAGACAATTGTTGAAATGCTTGACAGCTCACACACGAACTTGAATTTTTCTTCAATATGAATGATTTGAAGTCCTCACTATTAAAATCACTCTTACACATCGAAGATGAATATTATCATATTATGAATATGATATATTTCTCATTTTTTTTCTCTAGTATGTTTTTTTTTTCGAACGTAAAAATATAATCTGATTTGATAAGTACAAAACGTCGATATGCTTCGATGCATTAAGTTCAATCGTTCTCTTTGTTTTTTGGTCGAGTCAAGCTACCTCGACGACTACGGAATTGTCCGATATATCTCTCGCGAATAAATGAACACACTGCGCGCTAATTGTAAGCAGCTATTAGCGATTTTGATTTTTGGCGGACGCGATATACCTAGAAGAAGCGGCAGATTGTAGATTTTCGTCTCCAGCGGCGTTTTTCCTCTCTTTATTTTTGTATTTTTTTTTTCCTTTCTTTTTTTTATGATGTCACGCAACGAGTGAGATACCGAATCGGTGTAGAGATCATCGGCGATTTCTTCCGGGATCTTCTCTAATTCTCTGTCACTAACGAGAAATCAGATAAAATTATTTCTACCGACAAAGTGCTTACTGGAAAGATGCGTATGTTTTAGTTAATTTAACGCGCGCGTGTCGCCGTGTAACATTTGATCCGAGAGTTACACGTATGTACACGGCTTTCGTCTTAGAAAGAAGAACATACATAGAAGCCGTTATACGAGTATTAATTTGAGTATATACATACATGTAGGATTGATTACACGTAAAACTCCATCTCGTATCAGCCATACTGGCTACGATATCATTTGACATACACGCAAACCTTTCATGAATTTTAGAGATGAGTATAAAATGTTAAGACGTACTGTTGCGGCTATGTTTACGGAGAAAGTTATTTGGAAATAAAACAATTATGATAATAAATAATCTTTTTTAACGAATAGAGAGGAGATTACACTATATAAACATTCTTCCGCGCGTATATAAATTCAGTCATTCATTTTTACATAATATAATGCTTTATCATTAAACATCAAGTCTTCAAAGTATGTTGTTTCTAAAATTTGTAACAAGTAAAATTTGTATGCAAGAGTTTCGATTGTTTCTGCAAATGCAGAGTTTCTTTTTTTAATTCCGTGTATTTGTTTAACGAGCCACATAACTCTTTCACAATTTTGAATATTTGATAATATACTGTTTCACGTGGAAAAAAATATTTGTCCGTTTACATGCAATTTATTAAACGTTACTTATGTAAACAGTTACATTCTTTATGGTCATGTCGGATACAATGGTAGATCTATACAGATCTATACAGACAGTAGGTACTCTGAATCGGAACTTTGCGGAAAATGATGAATAATAAATAAATCATAAATTAGTACATATTGTAAATGTATGATATACGTTTCATTGGCGATGCTTCGATTGTTCGATAATCGATTGATAATGTATAATCAATGAGGATGGTGAATAATAATTCATGCTTATATCAAGTTACTACTGGCTATTTGAAGTCGACGTTTGATGAAAGAGTTAAATATGCGCAATTATATAATAATGTAAAAAACAGTTCGTCACGTATACATCATATCTTTTAATATGTCGAATGTCGTAGTAATTGTATGATTATTTACTTACATAGACATGACGTATCTACTAAAAAATCACAGATAAAAGTTTAATAATTATATTTTTCTATAAATTATAACTAAAACATAATTAACGTTATAATATAATTATGTTCACATTTAAAAAAATATATTAAAACATAGCCAATGATAGTCTCTCTCATATTTATATAAATTAATAAATCTTTCTCTCAAATTATTGGCAAAATTGAAGGATAAAATTAAAAACAATTGACTTTTTAAAAGTTTTTGTAAATTTTAGAAAGCGTCTAACGCCGCGACCAATTGCGATTTCTTTCGTTCCTCACAAAGAAAAATGATTAACGTTATATTAATCGATGTAAATTACGGGCGATGTACGGTACAATTATTTACAACGACAACGCAAACATCGCCGATGACGTACATGAAGAATGGACGTCTAATTAGTAATAGAGAGTACTGAGTGTTGTTAATTAGTCACGGGTTTGAAGCGCTCGCAGACATTCGCAACACATCGCATGTTATACCTCCTGCATACGTCCATCCATGCGTGTAAACGATAATAGATTTATTATCATTATCATATAGTACTATGATACAAGATATAAGTACATTGGTTTAGTGATTGCAGGCTGCTCCTCTCATATCACAGCGAGGGGCGCTGCCGGGCCCGCTTCTTAAATTACACCTATGCCTTTATCGTTCTTGCATTTCTCATTTGCTTCCAATTTCTCCGCCGTTGACTCACGAACAAGCGACACATATCACACGTGTATATAACTCGCACAATTCACGCCCTGCACATCAATATCTTACGTAGATATATACATACATATATATATATATGTATATACATATATATATTTGATCATATATATACACATATATACATATATATACATATACATACATATATTTAAATCCCGTTTATTTATATATTTATAATATATATATATACTTTTTGTATGTATATTTATATATATAGATATATTTATATGTTATTATATGTACATTTAACGTGGCGCCTTAGACCTGGAGAGGTGACCACCACTGTCACGAATGGACGGTCGAAATGTCTCGGAGACACCCCGTTTAGGACGCGACGCCACGCGTTTTGTGGCTTCAATGCGCTACGCTCGCCTTCCGCACGCAAGCCGAGCTCAGTCTAGGCGCCGCGCCTAGCACAGAAATCCCCCGCGGAATCCCGATGTGAAAGATTCGACATTGCAAACACACATACGTTACGTGTATACATACATACATTTATTGCGAGGCTCGATCGCGCGCGTACATCACGCGCGAGACCAATGTTTGATCGGAGCGTCTCTTCGTTGGCCCGCATCAGACTTCGGACAGCAACGAAGTCTCGGCTTGAATAAACAATAAGGGCGGCGCGATCGAGCCCCGCGTATCGGGAGTTTCCGAATCGAGGTCGAAATTTTCTCGGTGTTCTAGCCTACTCGGAAGCCGTCGACGGATCGATCGAACTCGTCCACCGATCCCCGTTTACGCATTAAGACTAGCGCGATAATAGGAACATGGTATCTTCGTTTGCAGGCATTGAGACCACTGTGAGACGATCGGGAAAGGGATGAAGGCACGGGAAAAGGGAGGGGGGGGGGCGGGAAGAAGGATAGAGAAATAGGGATATGTCACGCGTACGTGGAGAAATGCCAAGTAACTCGATCGCTAACGAGCTAATGCTAATCGTTCGATCATCACGACGATCGCTCCGATCGCGCACTCCCGATACGAGAGATTAGGCGATCGTCGCTGGTAACCGTTCAGCCCGAAGATTGTCCTTTCCCTTGAAATGCGCGGAAGCAGCACAGAAAAGAAATCGCGGCGTTAACATCTCCTCCAAACGCGGTTTGTCGTCGCGCGTCGCACGAACGAGAAAACTCCTGTTCTCACTTTTTAACAAGAGTATTTCCCGCGAATCGCTCGGATTGCTACGGAATCGACGGGAAATCCTCGTCAATCTGGACGGAGATACTGGGTGGAAACCGCACATGGTGCGCTGCATAGCCATGTATACTATTTCACCGGCCGCGTTTCTTCCTTGTGACGCTAAATTATTCAGTCTGAAGAACTCCCTTGCGAGTCGCGTATCAATGATCAGCCTCTTGCTCGGCGGAGGTCCAGCCGTCGTCAGCGAACAATCGTGCCCTTCGCAGCTAGGTGGTGAGATATGTATTCAAGCTTCACGCGGCTAATCCCTCTCCCCTCGCCGGCGGAGGGGGTAGCCGCGCGGTCGGCGGCGTGGCGTCGTTCTCGGTTCTGCTCGGTGTTTCCCGGTCGAAGTGATGCTGCAGCGCCTCGCTGGTCCAGGTGGGCACGCTGGCGGAGTTTTGGTTGCCGCTGTTCGACGACGGCGTGCCGGGTGAGTGCGAGGGCGACGGCGGCTGGAAGAGCATAGATCCCGACGGTATCGCGGACTTGCCGTCCACCAGAGGTCCGTTGCTAGTCGGCGCCATAGGTTGTTTGTCCAGGGGGAAACCCCCGCCGCCGGCCCCGTACACCGAGCCGAACAGGCTCGCCGCGTACTTGCCCGCGCCCAGGGAATGAGGCGGCAATCCATTGTTACTTTGAATCACCGAAATCTCGTTCAGCTGTAAGTTAATGCACGCCGTCTGGTTAGGTTTATTCGGGGGGGCAATTATTACCTACAAAAATAGACAACGATTGTTAATTTCGTGTGCGACACCGCGCTTTCGACGATACTTCGTTTAATTATGTCTTTCATTTTTTTTAATTAGATACAATTATTTGTATGCAAAGTGCGAGTAAAAACTTCTGCAATTTGTTGCAATATGAAGCTTGTATTGATTCATGCGGAATATATTGACGCTTGTGAAATTGTTATTAGTCCGCGTTGGAGATTAAAATTGCGAACATTGAAATCACTTGATCGATCGAATTTTAATCCCCAATTCGCAATGTCAGTCTCGAACGCACAATCTGATACGGGCTCCACGTCAATCGTCTTTGAATTATACTGACGGAATAGTCTTTCTCGCTTCGAGCGATGTAGGTAATCACCTTCTGCTGGACGCCGTTAAGGAATGGCGCGGGAAGATACGGGTAAAAGAGGTCCGGTCGTCGTTGCAGAAACTCCGAGTCCTTGGGGGTGATTGGCAGGGGAGGTAGATCCAATGACATCCGTCGGCCGCGGCGCGATGTACCGTTGGTGAACATATGAGTGCCCATGTGCACCTGCGATGAAAAGAGAAAACGAGAGAAACGATTAGAAGCGGCGTTAGGTTTCAATCTAGGGTGGGCGTTAATCTTTCATCGAGCTCCAGCGATTTGGACGTTTACGCTATTTTTTTTTTTTTTGCGTTAGTAGAAGCGATAGCGGCTAGCTGGTGTTAGTGAAGACTTTCGGAAATGTTATAGAAAAGACGTCTGACAAGAGGAAAAATGTGTTATACCTTGAGATTGCCTTTGGTGGTGAACGCCTTCTGGCAGACGGTGCATCGGAACGGTTTGTCGCCAGTGTGGGTTCTCATATGGATCTGCAGCGCCGAGGACGAGGAGAAATTCTTATTGCAAATCTGGCACAAATGTTTGCTCGGCACGCCTGCAAATACACATAACGGTTTCGCTAAACTGCTCCTGACTTCGTCGTGAAAGTATACGAGAATCATGGTCGAAGTATCATTATTTGCGCGCGTAAACGCCTCGGTCTGAGGCGACGGATCATGAAAGTTATGCAAATGCTGCGATAAATAGACCCAGTAGCGCCTTTAAAGCCTCGATTCGCTAATAAAATAATACAGTTGCGCGCAGCGTCGGAAGTTTGACGCCACCACAGTGTACGAGAAACTCAGCTCGTCTTGTGAATGAAACAGCGAAAGAAACGTGCGCCGCCACCAATATGAATGAGCGTATGTACAGCATCGAAATATTGACGGAAGTAACGATAGACAGGAAATACAGGCAAGGCTAAGAAGCGTGCGCGAAAGCAGCAGCAATCGGATGCTCCAAAACTACGGTTTTAGTCAGCGGAAGGGGAACTAATTGCGATCAACAACTCGATTAGCAACAAGATCGGAACTGCGGAGCGAAGCTGGTAAATACGTGTGACGCTCGATGAAGAAGCAGATTAAGGTTTTCTTTTTTTTCTTTAGTCGAAAGCGAGTGAACGATATACTTACTGGGTGGTCTCTTCGGCGCCGGCAGATCTCCTTCCGGCGGTGACCTCTTGACCGGTATCGCGGACTCGATAGACGTCGGTGGCATCGGCGGGGGCGGCGGGGAGGGGCGGTGGGGGCGGTAGGCTCGAGTCGTCGGTGCACATCGGGCTCCTCGAAGTTTCGTGATCCTGAGGTCCTTGTTGCTGCTGCTGCGGCTGCTGTTGCGGCTGCTGCTGGGTCTGCGGCTGATGCTTGGCATCGCTGAACAGATGTGGCGGCATATCGCGAATCTTGTGAGTCAGCATATGCTGCTTCATATTGCCCTGCGCATCAAAACGTTCTTTTGTACTTAATCGAGTAAGTAACGGCGGTTCCTAGAAAAGAACAATTTTAATATTGAAAGCATGGTTATTTGTGAGTAGCATCTGTACATAAAGTATTGGGAATTTGCGAAAATATTATTGCCGTTAGATTGACCGCTATGGCAGGGTTTAAGCTTGGTATTTTTATTTTATATCGTCGAAGACTCGCGATGTTACATATCGTTATCAAATTTGTTTTATAATGATTTTAGGTCGTGTTAAATAAGATGGTGTTTTCTTTTTATTGAAATAATTCTCATTATATTCATCTGTTTTGTTTGCATTATCGTGGAAACATTTAATCCGATTAAAATTTTTCCGTCAATATAAGTAATCCATTGGCATAACAATTTTATTAAAAAGTATCATATATTTTTATTTAATTTGCTGTACGAATGTTTTGACAAAAAATTATTTTGCTGCATGAATATTTCGAGAAACCGTAAGTTGTACAATTTTGCAAAATGGGGATCCTGACAAAGTTATCACATATTTATATTTGCATAAGTAATTTATCTTGTTGTAATAATTATTTATCGAATTAATGAGCTATTTAGGTCGTTGGATTTGTAAGAAGGAAAGTCTCGACTTATTATTATGCAAAAAAAAAGGTAGTTGCAACTTTGGCAAGATGTTAACGTCTGCAAGAGATCGCGAGACAAACGCGTGTACGTTTGCTGTTTAGGAGGCTCTTACCAGGAAGACGTGGTCCGAGGGTAGAAGTCCGAGGGCGGGTGGCATCAGCGGGGGCAGGCGGACGGCAGGATAAACAGACGTCAGCCTTCGCCCCCCTCCTGTTCCTGTCCGCCCCCGGTTCTTCCGTTCCTCAGGCCGCCGCCGCCTGCGTTTTGGTTTTTCACTATTTCCGGCGGCCGGTCTCGCCGGGTACGAGCGATATTGGGAATTGGGTTGTGGGGGGATCGGATCCTTCGCGGCGAAGGATTGGTCCGCACAGGAGCATACTTGTTGACTGGTATCGTCACTCTGAAAGTATAGCAGATCAACGAGAAGAGTATAGAAGTGATGTGAGTAGGTATCGTGTCAGGCTTAGAAGAAGCTCCGTGCGAAGGATGCGATATTTTGAACATTTCATTGTCAATTGATTTTTTTAGCATTCGTTTGTATTTTCGTAACGTCGATATCGCGAAGCGATTGTTAGTGCCGAAGATAGTATTGATATCTGCATAATGTCTCTCTTTTAATGTTTAATACATTTCGTAACAAGTTTTGTAATATTATTATCTAATTTTTTTGAACATTTTACGTAGGACGTGACGAACATTTCACTCTGGTAGTTAAATGATTTTGTTTAAACGAGTTTGTTTTTATATATTAGGCTGATTTGTTTTTATACCTATATCAGCTGACCAAATATTTTTCTTGGTCTCAATCATTTTGTCAAAAAACACATAAATTAGCATCTGAAAGTATGATCGAAATTCTATCGTACGTAAAAATTCCATTGAGAATTTATTTTTCGTAGCAGAAGAAGAAATATTGGAGAATAATATTCGAGTTCCTAGCGGAAGAATTATTAAGTAATAATAAAAAGATGCAAATATTTTAACATTATTTTGCGAGGCCTTCTGATAGTTTTAAAGTTTGAAGCTTAATGTCGGTTAGTTCTGAGATAATCTGCTAGGAAGTTACTCAAAAAATAATCTTTGTGCGGCCGAAAGAAGTAAAATGATTATGATGTGACATAGAGCGATTTATTTTTTACACAAAGTATAAATTGTTGCGAGAAAAGGCAATATATAAGTGAGAGAAAGAGGGAAAGGTAGTAAAAAAAGAGAGTATCAGTGCGCAATATTTATTTCCGAAATAAAGTAGATTGAATTACCTTTGTGGAAAAACCTCGGTCGCATATGGTGCATTTGAAAGGTCGCTCCTTCGTGTGACTCCGGTAATGAATCTCCAACGCGGATTGGCACGCAAACGTCTTGTAGCAGAATTTACATGTGGTGTTTCCACGTACTGCAACAGATCGTATCTCTTTATAAATTCTATTCAATTTTTCTATCTGTAGTATATTCCGACATTTTTAATCTATTGCATTTGCATCTATATAAGTTCTATGCCGTGTAATTTTTTCACAATTTTAAATACATAGTACATGTGTTCATTTGTAGCTTAAAAATAATTTACAAAAACTTAATTAAAATAAAATGAAAAGGAATAGGAAAGGGAATACAAAAAAGGATAGAGGTAAATCGTGAGTAAAAGGGTAAATTGTATCACAAATATTTATTTCTTTACATACGTAATTTGACATAACATATATGACATTAATTACATGTCACAATACATGTATATATGATATATACAATGATTAATAAATTGCTAAGTTAAAATTCATAGTTTTAAAAGTGGCATGTTCCTTATAATTGCATTTCTTATTAGTTCATGTAATGTTTTAATAAGAGATATAAATTTTTAGAAAGTTTATACATTATATTTTCAGAAGAAAAATACTACATTATACTTACTACAGATAGGAAAAACAAACAAAATTTTATAAGCTCCTCTCCTTTGATAAACGAAGTAATGTACGTACACGCTGTACTGTTTTCTCTTGAATTTACAATAGATTCATTCCATTAACAATTTTCTCTTATGAAAACTTACGACACTATGAGCTTCTGTTCTAACATTTTTTGTTACTTTATTTAAAAAAAAAAAAGACATAAAGATAAAGCGAATTTGATTGTTGTCCCTTCTGCGAACTGCCTCTTTTTCAACCATGTCAAAACACAACTTTCTCTGTGCTTACTGTAGTTTGTATAATTATTTGGAGAGCGTGTATTTTGACATTTATAGATAGAATTTTATCTTCAATTTTGCCAGAAATTATGAATCGTTCAAAATGAATTTTAAAATAAAAATAGGGACGAAAGAAAAATTATTTTTCTTATTTTAAGTGAGATTGCTCGATTCCAGCAATATAATTTTAGCGGGGTTGATATATAAAATTCTATCTTAAATTTGCGAATTATAGATTATATAAAGTAAGTTTAATATAAAAGTTATATATGCAACATAAGAATAAATAAATTCTTTTTTGAAACACGAAATAGATATGCGCGCACTGTTGGCTATTCCGTTAAACAAGGCAGACACAAATTTATTCCGAGAGATCAAAAGAATCGCTAGAGTCTTGTATCGGCATGAAATCCGCGTAAACATAAAATTTACGAAATCAAGTATCAAATAAAAGGTGAAACACGACAAATAATCGCTCGAGAGTAGCCCGTTCGACCAAACAATAACGAACGTGACGAGTTTAAAAACTTCGTCTTATTAAACGAATCTCGCGAGAAGGCATTGTGATAATGCTTATTAGATCGTCCTGCGTTCTTTTAAGTAAAACCTTAAATCAATATTATTGCACTGAGTTCGTAAATTCTATTGTGATAAACATAAAATTAATGCGTTATTTGCGACAAAAAAATGCGATAATCAACGTTAAAATCTTTCTGCTAAATATATTGAAATCATACTATTATTAATCCTTATTCCTGAATTGCCAAGTAGAGACGGAAGGCAAATTACGTAGAAAGTACACACAATCTCAAATTTCTCAATTTTCATCGGGAAAAGATTGCTTTATCGAGAAGTAATATTTTAATAGCTGATAACAAACATCATATTGCTTCTCCCTTGACTCTCAATTTCTTCGTTTCTCACGTTCCGTAGAAGGCTGGCGGCATTCTAAAAATTAATATACATATATAAGTAGTTATTTCCGAAGTTTATAAACAAAAGTAAAAAAAATCGATATCACCTGAATATTCCGCTTCCTCCGCGGTCTTCATTATCCAGCCGTATACAGCTTTTCAAACGCTCGATCATCGCAGTATATATTCGATAAATGTTTCGTACACGTAAAATGTAAGGGTGAAGGGTTCACTCCCTTCCGAGGGACAGAGAACCCAAATTTTCATCCTTGTGTGATTACACGACGTTTGAGACGAACGGGACAAAACATCGCGTCACAACGGAATGATATATTGTCTTTTTGATATCAATATCTGTTCATTAATATTAAGATTCTACTAACTACTAATATGAACTACGAACTACGAACCTCTAATAACTAATACGACTCATTTCAGTCGCCACATATCGACTTATTGGCCACTATCAATTCGCATCTTTCAGGTAACAAATGGATTCCGTGCTGAATGAAAGCTTCGTCTTTTGTGTCAGTCGTCGTGGTCAATTTTCCAGGAATTTTTCACAAGTTTTTTTTTTGTTTCGGATGGACAGTAATAGAGCCATTCTCCAGTTATAATTTGCCTTTCGCCGAATTACTGTATTAACGTAGATCGATCGATTTCCATCTGTTACACAAGATTACACGAGTCTTCGATTGTGCTAGGTTTGTCTAAATATAAAAAAAAAAAGAAATGAAATTATACCGCACTAATACATTATGATAAATCTTTCAAGTATCTTAAAAATATTCTACGTATAAGTGTATGAGTACAAGTGTGTGCGCATCCTCAAAAGAGATAGCGTAAATAAAAATAGAATACAGAAGAAGAAACTATTACAAAACTATTGAAAGTAGAGAAAAAGGCAGAGTGGGTACAGGCAAATAATGCAGGTGACAAAATGACACAAAATATAAAAGAGAGATAAACAGATAAAGAGAGAGAGAGAGAGAGTGAGAGAGAGAGATATCGAGAGATGATTATTAAAATAGAATCGACAAGACAAATAAAAGAAAGAATAATGGGAGAATGGGAGCGCTAGGTCCGGCTACACCACAAACGGGACGTCGATGTGAGTAAGGCGAATAAATCATACGGAGAGAGAAAAAGAGTGGCAGGTATATCTGGCAAGTTTGAGGAAGGGCTCAGCGATTGGCGGTAAAGGTGGTATAGCAAAGGAAAGGTGTAGCAGGAACCGCAGCTCGCCCTGATGCTGGCAGCGCCTACCTGCTGGCCCTCCGACAGCTAGGCCGAGCGGATTGTAGGTCGATGAAGCCGCTAGTACAGCCGAGGTGGTTAACGAGGCTAGTGGGCCGCTGGCAGGCCCGCTTCCCGGAGTGACGGCGCTCATCGAGGTGATGCAGTTTATACTCGACGAACCTATCGTACTGGTGGTAGGCGCGGACGAGACCGCTTGCAGCAGCCCGGCGAACATGCCGAATGGAACGTGCGGCGGATGGTGCGGCGCGGTCGTCTGCGGCGGCGGAGTCGGCGACGCCGACGCCACCGACGCCGGCGTGGACGACGCGCGGGGTGTCAGGTCGAGCGGCGCGCCGGAGGTCGGCGGACTGTTGCTCTTCTCGCTACCATTGTACCGGTGAAACGACGGCGACCTGGCCGCGTTGGCGACCGTGGTCGCAGCCGTGGTTGTGATGGTTCTCACTTGATTCTCGAGGGCCGCCAGCGATGTCGAGAACATCGCCGGCAGCGTCGTCGCATCCTTGTGCTCGAGGAGCTCCTCGCTCTCGTGATCCTGGTCATCGTCGACCTCGGCGCTACGCCTGTCGCGATTCATCTCGCATCTCTCGTCATCGTCCCTGCGATCTTGCTCCTCGTCCTCCTGATCGTCCAGCTCTTCGCTATGCTCTTCCATAAATCTCTGTCTCTGCTGCTGAGGCTCCTCCTTCATCTCGTCGTTCTCCTGCGATTGTTGCTCGATAGTCGGCTGCCTGGAGGGGGGGAATAAGGGGAAGCCCGCACTTGCCGCATGCATCGGCGCGAATCCTTGCGGGAGGAAAGACGCCAGTGGATGCGGGGGGTAACTGCCCGGGAACTCGTTCACTTCCGCCGCTTGAATCTGCTCCGGACTGAGATCGGTGGGTTCTCCGGTGTGCAGGCGTATGTGTTGCTGGAGCACAAGGGCGTTCGTGAACTTCTTGTGACACACGGGGCATTGGTGCAGCACCCTCAGCGGCGGTTTCGCCCTATGGACGCCCATGTGAGTCTTCAGATTGCCCTTCGTGGTGAAAGCGCGACCGCATATCTTACACTTGAACGGCCGCTCTCCCGTGTGCGTGCGATAATGCATGAGCAGCGCGCTCTTACAAGAGAGCACTCTGTGACAAACAATACATTGATTCGGATCGCTCAGCTTGTGTTCGATATTATCGACTAGTTGCTGCAGCTTCGACGTCTCGGAGGTTTTCGTTATCTCGATCAGACTCTCCCAGGAATTGTCGTTGCTGCCCGGTCGCGGGAGGAGGCTCGAGTAAATGGCCGGATCCTTCGCCGGATCGATCATTTCGCTCGTGGAAATGGTCGGAAGTGTCGGTCCGGCGGTCGAAACGGGAAGATGAGGTATTTGATGATGCGTCGGCCCGCCGGCAAACAGAATTCCTGCGAAGGACGTCTGAAGGCTGCCGCTACTCGCGCTACTACTAGCCGGAGACGCACCCGGATACGCGACGATCTGTTGCGGCAAGCGACCGATCGTGCCTCTGCCAGAGAGATTCTCCGGCTGCTCCTCCGTTTCTTCGTCGACTTCCATCTCTCCGTCGCCCTCCAAACGTCCGCTGATCTTGCTGTCCATGCTACAATCCTCGTACGTTTGCGGATGAGACGGCGGATTCACCGACAACTGCGGCGAGTTGAGATATCGTCTGGTCGTATCCTCGAAGTCCTCTCCGTCCTCTTCGACAGGCTCTTCCGTCTCTTCGGGTTCTCTCTTCGGCGTTATACTCTCAGCGTCCTCCTGGCTTGGCAATCGCGGCTGATACTGCTCCTGACCGGGCGATCTCTGTTCGAGTTTGATCTCCTCCTTCTGCTCAAGCTGCTGCTTCTGCTGTTGCTTCGGTTGCTGTTGTTGATTGTCGTGAAAGGAATGACGAGAGTTCGACATGGCGGCGGGGGAGTGGGGTGACGTCGACGGGGTGACGGTTACGGGTTTACTAAGGTTTTCCGGCACGTCCTGATCGTCTCGGTGATTAATAATCGGGGCTCGGTAAAGGGGCGGCATACCGGGCAGGGTGAGGCTCAGTGGCAAGGGCGGCTGAGGCGATAGGAAACTGTGCGTTGCCGCCGGATGAAACGAGGGGTGATGAGAAGGCGGCGGCGGCGGCGGCGGGGACGGCATTGGCCTTTGCCCGGAAGCGATTTGCTGCAAGAGGGGTGGGTGGTATTTGTCAAGATGTTCTGGAACGGGATTCGGATTCATCTTTACGTGCGGAAACTTGGCTGTATGCCTCTGGAAGTGGACCTTCAGGTTGCCCTTGGTGGTGAATCGGCTGCCGCAGACGTTGCACTTAAAGGGTCGCTCACCTGTGTGGGATCGTATGTGGATCTGTAGCGCCGAGTCACTGCCAAAGACCTTTCCGCAGAAACGGCAGCGATGCTTGAAGAACGGTTCCCCGCGGCCGCCGCTCGATTTCGAATCGTAAGGAGAGAGTCGCGAGCCCTTGCTGCCTCTGAACGCGAGCTCGTCGGCCAAATTGTTAGCCAGTAGACCTTGACTCGCGTTGTCCAGCACCTCCTGAGCGCGCTTTTGCAGCATCTCCAGAGTATTTGGCTCATGCAGCGGTGGCGGCTCTGGGTTTATGATCGACGAGGCGAAGGAGGAGCTTATCGAGCACAGCGGTGGCATTTGATGCGACAGCTGGATCTGATTGCTGGTGGTCGTTGCTGTCGTCGATGTGGCGACGGACGACGACAGGGGTAGATTCAACGGAGAGGCGCTGCTCGTCGAGGTTGGCCGTTCCTGAAGTAGATTCGGCGTGAGCGGCGCCGGTGATGTTTGTTGATGGTTACTCGGCGGTCGGGAAGTAGGAGGTGATGTGAGAGTCGATAGAGGTTTCGGATGAATGATGGGAGATGATGAGGCTTCCTTGCTGTCCACCGACTCCGTCGCCGATGCCTGAGCCACCGGTTGGCCGTGAGTGATAGACAATTGCTGCTGAAGGTGATTGATCAACTGCAATTGGAACACTTGTTGATTCTGCAGAGTGCACAGCGTGCTTTGCAAAAGAGCCAGATCTTGCAAGGCTGCTTCGCTATCGGCCCCGCCGGCCAGCGCTGTAGCAGCGAATTGGGCAACCGCTACCTTTGTATTCTGAAGTGCTTCCAAAGTGACATGACTAGTTCCCGCGGGCGGAAATATGGCGGGGGGCGGAAAGTCATTGTTGTTCTCCGCGTCTTGTTGGTGACGGATCTGCTTGCGCGAGCCTTCCTCGTCGTCGTCCTGTTCGTCTTGCTCGTCGACACCTTCTTCTTCGTCCTCTTCCAGAGGATCGTCGGCGTCCTTATCGTCCGCGTCGCTCTGATGCGACCTCGTCGCAGTGAGATCCACAGCTTCCTCGCCAACCCCTCCTCCACCGCCGCACTCCTCGCCGTCTGAAGTGAAGTCATTTTCTCGTCCTGCAACAAAAACACAAAACATTAATAATTGACGAGAGTCAATTTCTACGTTAGACAGTTCTTTTTCTACACTGATACACTCATATCGATTCGTAGAGATTGTCGGCGACAATGTTTTACTTTTACAAACGAGGCGCGATAAATTATACCTCGCAGCAAGCTTGACATATATTTCATATTACTCGCGAATACGTGCACGCCGATAGCTGTACGCGCAACATTAAAACGAGGGCAGATACATCAGCACCTGTGCTTTTAAAGTCTCGCTCGGCGATTAACATGAGCGTCAAGGTTAACGTGAAAGATAACTTGACATCCCATATGCATATTACACTCAGGATGTGCGACGAAAGCGGAATTCTTAATGATGGTGATATAAGTGGCGAGTTTCCGGTTCTTTATATTAGAATTCTGCATTTTTCCAAGATCAGTTAATTTAAGAGCGCCTGGCAGTCATGTGTTACCGATAGCTCGTTGCGCCGACGTTTTTGCTCATTCAAGATTCCTCACGTCGATGTTTTTGCTTCATAAATGTAATGTATAATTTTTTTTATCTACGCGCGTCGTTAGACGATTATTGCGTCAGGAAACGCGAGGAAGTGTGTCGCGTTAAATTTTAATGCCCACAGGCGAGGTCTCCGATTTGTCTGTAGACGATAAAAATATATATTAAGTACAATGATTAGTATGCTTCGCATAACATGTGATACTTGCGATCAATTTCACGCTACTTGAAACTAGCATTCAGTGAGCCATATACCCGAGTCCGTGCGAGCATGGAAAAAATGGAAATTGCGCGATTGTTATTCTTGGCATAGACTTTCCATAGTTTAGAATCGGTCGAACACCGTTTCACCGCGCTTGATTATATTTTAGTTGACAGTAGTTTCGCGAAGTGTAACATTTAAACATCTATCAAATGCATAAAATATTTGGGTTAAACTCTAGGAAAAATGCTTTGCATTTTTTTCAATAATAATTTAAAAATTGATTTAAATTTTATGCGGTTTTTAAATACGATTTATACGCGATCAATATGGTTTTAGTTAAAACATTCATAAAGTCTAAAAATAAACCTTACATCGCAATATTTCAAACTTTGTGGCATACCTTCGTGAAATAACGTATATAAGAGCAATGTGCGATTGCTAAATTATTCATCATATAAAATATGAAATATTTAATATTAAAATCTAAACAGAGCTAGGATTTTCAGTCGGAACTTTTAGATATTTTCGAGTTAGACCTCTATTGCTTTCTCCTTGTTATTAACGATAAGTCAGCGTGACGTTTTGTATCGAAATGGTCAAAGTATAATTGTAATATATTCGTAGGAATGCTGCGAAGACTCTCGAAAATTCTCGAATCTTTTTCTTTTCAAATTTTCGTTTATTAATAATTGAAACTAGGATTCTTAATGTAAATTGTGTTGCATATTTCTACATCATTTTTATACAAGATATCTCTGTACACAATAAAGAATTGAAACGGAGCATATCTTCGAAAGATATTTAGTCTTTAAGAAAGACAAATTAATAAATTAGAATTCATCTAAAAAGAAAAAAGAGAAATTTTTAACTAGGACCTTGGTAACGTTAAGAAAGTACCATCCCATATCGAATTTTCCTCGAATCCATTGTACTTACATATAATATATAGTATACCTGACGTGACTCATTCTCAAGTGTAATAAGGAAGTGTTGTAAGGAAAATGAATAGGTCATACACCTTTCTCTAAAAAATCAACGGAAAATTTGAAGTAAGTTTCTCTCAGTTCTGTTTTAAGGCATCAATAATTTTGCTGCATTAAAAACATCAAATACGGTTCAATTATAGAGATTCGGAACTTTGTATTTGAATGGATGCTGTTTAAACATTATATGTTTATGTGAATAATTTGAAAACGTTCAATGACTACTATAATAATATATATTTTAGTGAAACAAAAATTTTTAACATTTCGTTTTAAATATATGCAATAAAATATTTAACGAAAAATATTTCTTTTGAACAACCAAAAGTACGATGGAATATTTTTTCCGCGGTCTTTTAAGAGTACAGCTAAATTTCTCTTTTTATCAGTTACATTATTAACTGTTTAAGACAAATATTTCTTATCTTACGTAGAAAGTAAAAATAATTTCATAAATTCAATAACACGAGAAAATAGTTCAACTAAGAGTAACTAAGACTAAAGTCTTCAAGACTAGATGTTATTTTCTCAAAGACAATCGTATAAATAGAAGAAATATTGATATATAACATCTAGTCTTAGCTCTTGGGCAGTTTCTCATGTTATTGAATTTTTAAATTCAATAGAGAGTTTTCTATAATTTCTTATAATTTTATGAATTTTTACCTGAGAATTTTTTGTAAAAATTTGCCGACTGGAATATACTTAATAAATGTCTATTGTACCGCCTAGTCCAGCTCCGGCTTAACTCAAATCGATTTCTAATGCTTGATTTCATTATCCAACGATTTTATTATCATCAATGTCCACGTTTAAGAGCGTTATTCGGATAGACCTTGTGTAAGTAACTAACCACTACTCGTGCTTTGAAGCAAAATTGCAAAGTTATTAAAAATAAGATTCTACAACTGTTGCCAGTTCTCAGGGTAAATGTCCTCTTTTTTTAGCACTAAACTTTCACTCAAAGATATGCCACAAAAATTCACTATGTTTAAAAAATGGCCACGTGACTCTTCAAGAACTAATATTCTTGCATAGTTTGTTTTTTTTTTTTTTTTAATTACGTTTTGATTTAATGATTTTAATTCTTCTTTATTTGTTATCTTGACGCATATTAAACTCTAATTATTTTGCACTAAACTATCTAAGAACAAAATGTAACTGATCGTTTAGTAAAGAGTCTGTCTGGACGCGCATCACTATCTACGCCGGGTCTCCCCTCCCCAGCAGCGGCGATTGCGGCGGCGGAGGCAGCAATTTTCTCCGTGTCCCACCACTCTCGGGTATCCACCGCGCTTCCACCACCACCGTCACCCTGCGCTTCGGTTATGACGTGGAAGGCGGTGCGGTTCATAAATCAGGGGGAGAAGAGGCGGTGCTTGCGCGAGCCACTCACCGTTGAGTTATTAATTATTATCCAGCACCGGGCGCGCGATACCCTGCCGCCGTCGAGCTCGCCTCGTCGCACCACCACCTACGCCTCCACATTTAACCCTCCTGTCCCCCAGATGTTTCACCAGCGGGAGGTCGGAATCGCGGCGCCGATTTGCGCTCGAATTCGCTCGCCGTTGCGCCGCGCGCACAATAGATTCCAGCCATTTCGCGCGCGATAGATTGCGAATACGCGCGATTCCAACGATAAATCGCACCCGCGAGTATTGGCCGTTGCGTTATCGTAATTTCGAATGATAACGTGGCCGCGCGACGGTATTACGTGACAATCGATGTCGCTGATTTCGCATGACCTTCGTTGCGTGGAGCAATTACGCAGTCACGCCATCGCTGTTGATCGCAAACACGCGTTTATCGAAATTTTTTTAGCTTCCATGTCACGAAGGGACGTTTAATAGAGATTCGTATTTTGGCATCATTTTAAAACTGCAAAAATAAAAAACGAGAAATATATTATGTTCGTACTAAGTTAAACTTCACAGAAAAAAACTTTCCCAATTGTGTTTGGGTAGTCAATTGTCAGTGAATCGTTTTAGAGTTCACAATTCAGCATTCTCGAGATGGTCTTTGTAATTTTTAAAATGATTCTCAGTTTGTTTATTATTTTTGTTTTATTACTCTTAGGTATATTTTTTTATATTCCACTTTGTATGTGTGTGGGCTTAACCAGCGCAGTTTGTTTGAAATAAGACTCTCATATATTCTGTCGGAACAAAGACGTGTCTCTGGGTGTGGTCGTTTTAGTTTCTAGACACGCAGCTAAGGCATTATTGGATTATCCATGTTACGTATAAAATAGGTTTCATTCGATTATATCAGGCAAGATTATCGGATTATGATACCAAATGTTATGATTATTTATTTAATTGAAGAAAAGAATATCAAAAGAAATTCAAGATATATTTTCTTTTCTTTCTTATAAGCACATTGTTCAATAAATAAAAGAATATAGTTAATTATTTGCGAGCATTGGTGCTTGAAAAAAAATTGGATCTCTTTCAATGGCGCTTTATTTTATTTTATTTTATTTTATTTATCGTAATCTCCAATAAATGCAGTGTAAAAACGATAAAAGGAGCTGTGGCTGAAAGTTTTCGAAAGTCAAAGACGAATATCTAGATAATGTCGAAAAAAGATTTTGTAGTTAAATAAATACACAGTTGAGTAATGCGTTTCTAGAATCGTATAGTGTAGCGACAATATTAAAAACCAGATCATTCATTTGAACAATGCATAGTTTTTTACGAATTGTTCATAAAAATAAAAAAAAGATTGTATTGTTCATAGGCATAAAGAATTTTTCAATGAGAACATTTTTCACGGACATTATGGTCTTTTTATTAGAAATCTGTGAATATAGCATGCACAACTAAAAAAAGCATACTGCGACCCCGACAGCGCGAGAAAAGGTGTGCATTGTGAAAGAATCGTTGTACGGTTCCAGAAAAGTTATTCAATATACAAAAATGAATCATAGGTTATAATTTGTGCCGATCAGAGCGTTGTCCACGTATAGAAAAGATAAAAATTGAAAAACTGTCAAAAAAAAATGTCATAACGACAAATATCGAACGGAAACCATAAGTCATTTTGTTTCTAACCGCTCCGAATAAATTGATAGTTTTCTGTCGTAGAAAAGAAAAAAAAAATAAATTGTTAGAGTAATGACAGATAGCATAGTAAAAATGAAAAATTCTTTAAAATAATAATGAATCGTTAAGCAGAACTATTTAAAGGAAACTATCTTGGGTATCGTTTCTTCAAAAGTCAATTATAATAATCCTATTTTAAGTGATTGCTGTCAAAATAGAAGCCTTGTTAACGAGAAAAATGACAAAATTTGGACATCCGATTA